TAGAAGACACTACTGGGGGTAGGGAGAGGGAGCTAGAGGGTTCCTGGCAGCTGCAGTTCCCAGCATGCCCTGAGGGAAGGAGAGGGCGGCACACAGGAAACTCTGTGCAAGCCTGGGACTAAGCATCAGGCTGTTTCTCCCTCTTGAGCTAGGTGTCTGGGCAAGGAGCGGGGGACAGCTAGGCTCTGAGGGTTGGTGCGGGTATCTGGCCCAACAGCTGGCCTCTGGGAGTGACAGGGTGCAGGTATCTGGGCTCAGGGGCAGGGGTTGGGCTCTGGGGAGGAGGGGGTTTGGGTGTATTGGTTGGGGGGGCCCACACGTGGACTCTGGGGGGGAGGTGTTGTGGGTGTCTGGCCCCCCGGCTGGGCTCTGGGCAGGGAAAGGGGGCAGGGAAGCAGGAATTGGGTTGTCATAGGGGTTTCTTCAACTCTCTAGTCCTGGGGGAAATTTTATGTGTCTGTATTGTTACAGACATACTTGCTGACAGGTATTTTGAAATATATTACCAAAATAATTGAAATTGGCAGGATTATATAGTGTTATTTTGACAAATAAAATTTGCAGAATTTTTATTTTTTTTGGCACAGAATGCCCCCAGGAGTAGATGAAGAATTCATCTCAACTACAAGTGTTGTCATCATCCTCTTTGTCCATGCCAGGCATCCTCTGCTCGTGCTTACAAAGTCTTGCAGGGGGATGTAATCCATTGCATGTCTTGCATCTTTTCCCAAAAGCCAAGCATTGTCTTGGCTTGTGTTGGTTGCCATAGTGTGTGCAGCTCCACATGCTGTTTTGTGCTGGATTCTGACTTTGAGCTGCACATGCCTTTCTGCCTCAGGTCTCTTTTTTCTTGCACTTTTTAGGATTCTCAATCTTGTCCACAGGGTCAGATAACTGTCCACCTTCCATAAGATTTACTCAGGATGAGATGACTTCTGTGGCTTGGCAAATTCTAATTGCTCTGTTAAGGGTTGATTCTGGATCTCCCAGTAGTCTGCCTCAGAGTGTTTTGTTCTGGATTCCAGTCCCTGTCCAGTCTCTTATAAGGGACTCTTTTTGCCCCTCAAAATTGCAAGATTGGCTGTTCAATCTCAGATCAGTCAGAAAATCTTCTATAGTTTCACCTTCATTTTGTAGTCTGTGATTAAAAACTTATCTTTCACGTGTCTCATTTTTATGTGGAGTGCAATTTCTGTAATACGTTTTCATAATTAGCAGATATTGAGTGAAGCACTGTTTGAACTTCCTCCAGTTGTCTTCAATTTCCAGAGAGTTTCAGCTCTGGAATATCTTTTAACAGATCCATTCTTCCACTTAGGAAATTGTCTTATTTTTTTTATTCATAGTACCATATGGTGTTCAGTGAAGAAACCTCTAGGCTCTGTTGTAGGACAAGGGACCACTGGATCCTCACTATAGTAAATTCGTATTCCAGACCTCCTTTGGCCCTGCCTTTAACATGATGCTTTGCAGGGAGCTTTTACAAAGGGATCCAAACTATGCTAATGTGCATCCCCTGAATAACCTTCTCAAATCCTGCTTCTCTTACATAATATGCAACACACTGTGTATTGAAATTCATTTCCTAACTATATCAAAGCCTGTCATAGAAACAAACAAAAGAGCATACCTTGAAGTCTCCTTGCTTGGGAATAAATAGTTTGCTAACTATAAAAACTAATAGCAGCCAAATGTATAAAGACAGGAGATTGTTAATAAATGACAAAGTAGCGAGTGTGAGAGTAGAGTACAGTACACTGATTTCATGAAAAAAATACCAAAAAGTTAGAAAATCTTTAAAGGTCAATCATCATGGACCAGATCTTCAGGTGATGTATTTTATGGTATCTCCATGGAAGTCAATGGAGCTGTAGTGATTCATATTTCATGAGGATATGGCCCCACAGCTCCTACTTTAGAGAGGGAAAGAGAGGACCATAGTTAGATGGAATACCATTGTTTCTGCCACATCCTGAAGCCACCCATTCTGCTGACCTTGGAGGACGTGCACACAAAGGCACAGACACTTCATAGTATCTGCTAGGCTCCCAAGGTCATGGAATTAATGCGGATGCAAGAAGTGTTAGTTTAACTTTCTCAGGAATATCCTTGAAAATTTCCAGGTGGATTGATGCCACAGACAGCTGTCCTCAATCTGTCCCTTCCCAACACAACTGTGACCCTCTTTACCCCAGAACGCAGAGAAGCCCCCTTCACCGCCAATGCAAAGAAGCCTGAACATATTGAATGGCTTCCTTGAAATCAAATGGAAGGGAGATATTATTGTGCTGCCTCAGCCCCTCACCAAGGGACAGAGTAAGTCAAATCTATTGGCTTTTCACTTCTTTCATCCATTCTGCAGGAAATATTTAGAGGCAATGAAAGTCAGAGGTCCACATTTTGTTGGTTGAATATAGCTATAATGATCATGCATTAATAGTTTCTCTTTTAGGTCTGAATTATAATTTGCTTTGTTAAGGGTTGATTCTGGATCTCCCAGTAGTCTGTCTGAGTGTTTTGTTCTGGATTCCAATCCCTTTCCAGCTGTTATTTTTCAAAGTCATTTAAGTGCTGATTATAACAATCAAAATCTTTTCTACCTAAATAATGCCAGCAAACCAATGTAGACTTGTACAAAACAAAAAAACAAACAACCCTCCGCCCCTCCCCAAACAGTATTACAATAATAATGGAAAAGTGTAACAGTGACAATCTTGTAACCAGTATAAAGTTATTGGACAGCCATGTCTGGAAGCTGTCTTGGAATCCTTCAGCAAGATCTAGTTACCTAAGGCAAATATTAAAAAGATAAAGAAAATGAAAGAAGAATATACGGCTTGTCAGTTCTGTTCCATTCTAATGTGAAATGGTTGGGGTTTTTTGTGAAATGTTACACTAAAATAATGTTTAAAACGTAAGTAAGTGTATGCAGCTTTCATGTATCTTTCATGCTGACATACAATACGTGAGTATCAAAGTTAGGAGAAAAACTGCTTACTTGTACACTGAAATATCAAACAGTGTTTAGTTAGATTATGCGTTTCCTTCTGTTTGCATGTCAGTTTAGTGTTTGTGAAAGACATAATATCATTTTAACAGCCTTACACACTGAAGTCCTGACTTTCTGCACTGTAAAGAAACAGAATAACAATAGCATAAGCATCCACACAACAAATGTTCTCTCTGCCTGACGAAGCACTAACCTGGAGGGAATCAGTTCTAGAGCATAGACGTTAATTTAGTCTCCATGTCCATTTAGTCTGTGGCTTCTCCTCTAAGTCTGTAAACAAAGGTGCTAATTCATGTCAATCGAATTTGGATTTCTACCTAATAGGAACTGGACTGAGAGCACCCAACTCATTTTAAACAAGTCTCCACGTAGACATTAGATGGTAAAGTTGAACACTACCTACCTGGCCAGATTCAAACCAATGTCGTCTAGGTAAAAAGCTCCATATCCTATATCCACTGAGCCAACCAGATCTTAATTTAACAGCACTTTGAACAATGATTCATTATAAATATTTTCATATAAGTTACTGTGTTGAAATAAAAATTAACTCCAGAAATGCAATCCAGAGTCAAGGGTGAAACTCCATCCTTAGCTCTCCTTGTTATGAATAGGAATTGCAGTTCATATGATGCCTGATCCTTGACCCAGCCTCGGTTCCCTCTGTGCTGCTGCAGTTGTACAAAAGGGCTACGTCAGATTCCGCTGTTGTAGAGGAATTCCTCAGTGATATAGAGCTAAAGCCAGCTTTATGCTACCCACTCTCCCTCCTCCTTATAAGGGATGGGAGGAGGTAAGGCCAGAGCACACTGCTGTGGTTGTCCTGGGATGGCAGAATGGTCTGTTAGGGACCATTCCGGCTAGTGTAAATTATGTAATCAGCCAGTGCAATCACATTGCAGATGCTTAACTCCGCTATCTGTTTCCGAATGTTGAGAGTGTTCAGATTATTAAAGCTATGTCAAGCATTGGCTTTTAGGCATATTGGATATATAATCCATTGAAGGCTGTGGGCTGCACAATTTGTCTTCCAGACAGTGAACATTGTCATCCTGGATGTCATATTCAAAAGTAACTGACAGTAAATGCAGGAATCTTTCCCCTGTTTTAGATGACTGATTGCAGCAACAAGTCACCTAACTAGCAACTGCCTCAGTACAGCTAACCTTAAATCCAATTTGACATTATAGACAGTTCTTCTCTCATGCAACTGTCTGGCAACAACATCAGAACATTTCTTTCGTCCTATTCCTAAACAGTTTAAAAAAAACTCACCCCAGAACTGGAAAAGGTCAGTAAGTTAAGCAACAACAAAAACCGGCATAGGTCTCCTTCAAGTTTGCACACTACATTTTCTATTCTAAAAAATCTGTAATCCAAATGACACACTGCTGATTGGTGATCCAAAGTGATGTTAAAATCTCAATTGTATATTATGCTTTCACTTATACCACACTTCAAATGGCTTACATAGCTGTTAACCTTCACAATCATATATTACCAGGGAGGTGCAAAAGGAGTACATTGTACAATTAAGTCATCACGTAGTTCAGTCATTTTGAGGGTCTAAATCCAAATAAAAATTCTTTGGTGCAGAACATATAAAATAAGACACAGTTATGTGAGAGAGAAAAATGTGATTGATCTCCTAGGCGTATTGCATGACCTGGCTTATAGAGGCCAATAGAAAAGCTGCTTACCACAAATAATACTCATGACAGGCAAGTAGCAGAGACACAATGGCAGAAAACGAAAAAGCACAGCTTATTTATTTATCGCACAATAAAAATAAATGTCATAGACACTCACACAGATTATATATTTAAAAGTTCCAATTTTGTAATGTTTATAGTATATTTTCAGTTTTGATTATATATTTGATATTACGTATATAAAATTAAATACATAATAACTATATAATCAAAAGTGAAAGTATATTAAAATAGTATAAAATTGGAACTTAATATTATAACAATAAAACACTGGGTTAATTAAATGTTAAAGTTAAAAGAAAAAAGGCAGGAAACACAAAAGTTGGGGGTCGTACAGCAACATATCAACTGTATGAAAAGAAAAATCCATTTTTTTTTCCTGGCTATGAGACTGATTAGCAAAATGCATATGCAGAAGTTCTCACACTCACAGTTTCATGTGCCTAACCTTGAACATACAAAACTCTGATGCATGTGCCACTTCTGATTTTTACAGAGACAAGTATACCTCCACACATGCAAATAAGGACTATATGCACATATTGGAGTTTGCACGCACAAGTCAAAAGCATGAAAAGATGCCTGCATTTCTGAAAATCAGGTCATAAATAAGTAGTTGAACATCAGCATAGGTTATATGGCTTAGTAATGAGTCAAACCCCAGTCTGTAGCCAAACTTCAATGCCACCAATATTGGTTGGGATTTTTTTCTTTTTCAAACTTGGGCCTAGATTTAGGTCCAGACTTTCAAAAAAGCTCAGCAATCATTTACGCACCAAAATTCGTGGCCAGATTTTCAAAAGAGCTCAGTATATTGAGTGCTGATCCCTTTTCTACAATCTGGCTATGAATGTCACAATGGGAACTTCTGGTGTTGAACACTTTTCAAAATGTGTTCCTTACTTAGGTGAGTAAATAGGTCCTGAGCTCTTTTGAAAATTGGGCCTTTGCAATTGTGAGTACTGAACACTTGAAAATCTGGCCCTGAACTCTTGAGATTCAGGCCTTTCTGACTCCAGCCGGCTGTTACTAAAACATGAATGAGGAGATATTTCCAGAGACAGATATCAAGGTCGGTGAGGTAATATCTTTGACTGGACCAATTTCTGTTGGTGAGAGAGAAGCATTTGACCACACAGAGCTGTTCTTCAGGTCTGGGAGAGGAACTCCCAGTGTCAAAGCAAAATGTAAGGCGGAACAGATTGTTCTTCTTTGAGATGTGTTGCTCATGACCATTCCAATATAAGCGTGCCTGTGTTGCGTGCACCATTGCTGGAAGACTTTTTTCCCCTAGTGGTATCCGTCGGGTTGTCTCTGGTGCCCCCTGGAGTGGTGCCTCCATAGCACGGTGTATCGGCACCTGCCAGCCCGTTCCCTCCTCAGTTCCTTCTTTCTGTCCGTGGCAGTCACTGGAACGCTCCTATCGCTTGCTCAACAAGTGATTCTTTTAGTGGTCTTCTTTCTGTAAATAGATTGTAGATAATTGTAAATAGATCGTTAGCATAAGTAGAGTGATAATTAGTAGTTAATAGTCGGTAAGCACCGGGCCCTGGGGCATGCCTTGGTCCCAGGACTTCAAACAGTGTGTGGTATGCTGCAAGCACATGCCAGTTTAGTGACCCTCACGAAAGCTGTTTAAAGTGCTTGGGAGAGGGTCATATTCAAGGTAAGTGCCGGAACTTCAAACCGAGGACCAAAAAAGAGAGAGACAATCAATTGAAGTTTGTACTTATGGAGGAGGCACTCCGTCCCGCTTCAGAGTGGCAACCGGATCCAGTACCGAGCACCTCCTCTACCAGGAGCACTCTGGCGTCTGTTCAGGACATCCAGCGTGGCTTGGGCTCCCGGGCATTATCCTTCCAGCACCGGAACACTTCTCCAGCGCCAAAGAAGGCGGCACTGATAACACAGCACCAATCCCCATCACTGGTGCCAAAGAAGCAATTGAAGAAGTCTGATCGGGGACGTTCCCACTCAAGAAAGACTGTTGAGAGAGCGCAATCTATGATGGACCACTCTCAATCGGAGGTGACTCAACTGGCACCATTGACTCTGGCCCCAGCAGGGGAACCTTTAAGTCCGGGACTGAGGGGCTCCCTGTATAGGGTGAGCCAAGGGGGAGACACGAGCTTGGCACCGCCATAGACGCCAGAGGTGTATGAGGCGGCACAAAGCCTCTTGAGTCTCCTGGCAGTGCCATCCCTGAGACAAAGCCTGCAGGGGATGAACCAGGCACCGCAGGTTCCAGCCACAAGAGGGCAAGCACCAGTCTTGAGCCCTCCTCCTTCCCCCTCATCACTGAGGGACTTGGCACCAAGACCACATTCACCGCAGAGACGTGGCACCCCACCTAGACGCCGGTTGCAGTCCCACTGCTGGTCTCGTTCCTGGCACCGGTCACACTCCAGGTGCTGATCACTGTCCCCACGACGCTCCCTGCCGAAGTGCTGCATACAATCACGGTACTGCTTGTCGTCGGGGCGCTGCTCTCCATCACGACAACACTCCCCATGGCGGCTCTGTTATTTGTCCCAGCACCGCTCTCCTTTGAGACACCATTCCCCATCTAGGCACGGTCGCTCAGCACCCTGGGGCACGGTGCCACCCTGGTCACCTAGGAGCAGGTGCTCTGGCTCAGAATTGCAGGTACAGTCATATGCCTCATGAGGGAATTGATATAACGTGGATCACAGACACCCCACAGATGAGACCCAGGGACTTGTCCTGCCAGTATGGGGTTCGGGCCAATGGCAGATTCCTCCTCAGTGGCCAGCGTGTGGACTGACCCAACCCGACGGATACCACTAGGGGAAAAATGTCTTCCAGCAATGGTACACACGACACATGCACACCTATATTGGAGCAAAACATCTCGAAGAACAGCAGTTACAGAAAGGTTAGTAACCGTTTATGAAAAGTAGTTAGCATATATTGTAAGGGACCATTCAAAGTACAGTGGCTGATTAACACCTCTGCGGTCATAGGACAAAAAGAGGGTGTTAATGGGTTACAGATAGTTGTAATAAACTATAAATCCAGTATCTCCGTTCAGTTCATGATTGTTGGTGTAGAGCAGAGCAACGAATTTAAGCTTCATCTTATGAAAGTGTTGTGTAAGTTTCCTTTGAGAATGAGGACTGACAGGGCGGGGGAAAGGGCAGTGACATTAAAGCGCTTTAATGTCGGCTGCATACGGGCTGGTACTGGCTTCTTACTGGTACACGGTACCAGCCCACTTTCACCCCTAGATCCATGGATCTTTAAAGGTGTGTTTTTCATAGATTCATAGATATTTAGGTCAGAAGGGACCATTATGATCATCTAGTCTGACCTCCTGCACAACACAGGCCACAGAATTTCACCTACCACTCCTGCGAAAAACCTCTCACCTATGTCTGAACTATTGAAGTCCTCAAACTGTGGTTTAAAGACTTCAAGGAGCAGAGAATCCTCCAGCAAGTGACCCGTGCCCCATGCTACAGAGGAAGGTGAAAAACCTCCAGGGCTTCTTCCAATCTGCCCTGGAGGAAAATTCCTTCCCGACCCCAAATATGGCGATCAGCTAAACCCTGAGCATATGGGCAAGATTCACCAGCCAGATACTACAGAAAATTCTTTCCTGGGTAACTCAGATCCCACCCCATCTAATATCCCATCACAGGCCATTGTTGATTTTTGTAGCAGTGGAGATATGTCTACAGGTTTTGCATCTGTTATTCTTCCAGGGTCTGGTGCCACTTTTAATTGCTGTGTCCTGTTCTGTGGGGAGTTTGCTTCTGATGATGAGCTTGGAGAGGTAGCGGGGTTGTTTAAAGGCCAGAAGTGGAGGTTCATGAAAGATTTCTTTCAGGATAGGGTCCCCATCCTGAAAGATGGGATGATTTAACTGGGAATTGGTCCTGCTTCGAGCAGGGGGTTGGACTAGATGACCTTCTGGGGTCCCTTCCAACCCTTATATTCTATGATTCTATGATTCTATGAAGGGTTGAAGTTGTTTGATGATACCCTCTATGGATTCGAGGATGGAGCGGTAGGTGACAACTAGAGGTGTGATCACTTCAGAGGGGGTTTTATTTCTGTATTGAAGCAGGTTCCCTTGGATTATTTGAGTGGCCTATCGCATGATGTGATCTACTTCTCTGGTGGAGTGTTCTTCTTTGGTGAAGGCCATTTTAAGGTGTATATCCCGGACTTTCTCCTTGAAGCATATTCTGTGGTATCTGAGTGCCTGGCTGTAGATAACAGATTTATTGGTGTGTTTGGGGTGGTTACTGGATCTATGAAGGTAGGTGTGGTGATCCATGCTTTTCTTGTGTATGGTTGTCTGTAGGGTTGCATTGTTGAAGCTGATTGTGGTGTCCAGGGAGTTGATGTTAGTGTGGGAATGTTCCAGAGAGACTTTAATGGATTGGTGTTGGTGGCTGAAGTTGTGGCGGAAATCTATGAGGGAGTTTAAACCATCTGTCCAGAGGATGAAGATACCCCCCTCTTTTTGTCTTCTGACTGCAGAGGCGTTAATGGGCCACTCTACCTTGAATACATTTATTTGAGCATAAGCTTTTGTGAGCTACAGCTCACTTCATCGGATGCATACTGTGGAAAGTATAGAAGATCTTTTTATACACACAAAGCATGAAAAAATGGGTGTTTACCACTACAAAAGGTTTTCTCTCCCCCCACCCCACTCTCCTGCTGGTAATAGCTTATCTAAAGTGATCACTCTCCTTACAATGTGTATGATAATCAAGGTGGGCCATTTCCAGCACAAATCCAGGGTTTAACAAGAACGTCTGTTTCCCCTATTTCCCTTTGTTTTTTCCTACCCCCCCCCGACGTTCTTGTTAAACCCTACCTTGAAATGAACCCTACCTTGAAATCTACCTTGAATGATCCCTTACAATATGTGCTAACTACTTGTGCTAAACAATCTGTTACACCTTATGTTTTGTTTTTACACTGGGAGGAATTCCTTTCACAGACCTGAAGAAGAGCTCTGTGTGACTTGAAAGCTTGTCTTTCTCACCAACAGAAGTTGGTCTAATAAAAGATATTACCTCACCCACCTTGTCAGTCTCAGGGCATGGCTACACTTGCAAATGTAGAGCGCTTTGAGTTAAATCAGCCTTCATAGAGCACAATAGGGAAAGCGCTGCAGTCTGTCCACACTGACAGCTGCAAGTGCACTGGCGTGTCCACATTTGCGGCACTTGCAGTGGCATTGGGAGTGGTGCATTGTGGGCAGCTATCCCACAGAGCACCTCTTCCCATTCTGGCGCTGTGGCTTGAGGGAAGGGGGTGCAGGGCATTCTGGGTCCTGTCTCCACACCCCGTGATGCATCGGTTCGCATCCCAGCAATCCCTCTGCTTCCATCCACAATTGACGCCATCTTTCAACATTTTTTGTACTGCACGCTCTGTCTTCCCTTTTGATCTGTGGGAATGGAGCCCAAACCGCTGAGGAATATGCTGACAAGTCTCACCAGCACATCACGTTTGGCAGTCGAGTTACTCCTTAAGATCCAAAGTGACAGTGAGGACTCCGAAGATGATATCGACACAAGTAACTCATACGACACGAGATTGCTTGTGGCATTCACGGACATGCTCACCACCATGGAATGGCGCTTTTGGGCTCGGGAAACAAGCACTGAGTCGTGGGATCACATCGTCATGCAAGTCTGGGGTGACAAGCAGTGGCTGCAGAACTTTCGGATGAGAAAAGCCACTTAAATGGGACTGTGTGAGGAGCTTGCCCCCACCCTACGGCGCAAGGACACGAGATTGAGAGCTGCCCTGCCGGTGAAGAAGTGGGTGGCTATTGCAGTCTGGAAGCTGGCAACTCCAGACAGCTACCGATTGGTCGCTAACCAGTTTGGAGTGGGGAAGTTGACCGTTAGAATCGTGTTGATGCAAGTTTGCAGGGCCATTAATTGCATCCTGCTCAGAAGAACCATGACTCTGGGTAACGTGCATGACATTGTGGATAGCTTTGCACAAATGGGTTTCCCTTACTGCGGAGAGGCAATAGATGGGACGCATATTCCAATTCTGGCACCAGCCCACCGAGCCTCCGAGTACGTTAATCGGAAGGGGTATTTCTCTATGGTTCTCCAGGCGCTTGTGGATCACTGTGGGTGTTTCATTGACATTAAGGCAGGCTGGCCCGGAAAGGTGCATGACGCATGCATCTTTCGGAACACTGGCCTGTTCAGGAAGCTGCAAGCCAGGACTTTTTTCCCGGACCAGAAGATCACCTTAGGGGAAGTCAAAATGCCCATTGTGATCCTTGGAGACCCCACTTATCCTTTAATGCTATGGCTCATGAAACCCTACACAGGGAGCCTTGACAGCAGCAAGCAGTGGTTCAACAAAGGCTGAGCCGGTGCAGAATGACTGTGGAGTGTGCTTTTGGCCATTTAAGGGGCCGCTGGCGCTCTCTGTATGGGAAGCTGGACCTGGCTG